TCCCTCCTCGGTATAATGTTGGCCTGTAAATGGGTGTATATATGCATGTGTATGTATGTATGTATGTAAGACACATACATTAAGCCTCGGAGGTAAGAAAGGTGGACGGAAGGTTCCACTTGAGGTGTGGGATAGAAAAGAGAAATTAAATTAAAGCTAATGAAAAAAAAAAGGAAAAGTAACACAATTATTTAAAAAAAAATGAAAATGAAAGAAGTAAAAGTTAAATAAAGTCAAAGAGACTTAGAAGGACAATTTTCATTTAAAAATGGTATAAAATTTACAATTCCCTACAATGATTTATTATTATTATTATTGTTATTATTATTATTATTATTATTATTATTATTATTTTCTTTGATTTCTGGCGTTTACACATTTCTTTCCGGGTCCCGCCCAGGGACCTAAGGTTAGAAATGGCGTCATGACACTTTCCACTGACAAAAAAAGAAAAAGATTACATAGATAAAGCCCTTCGTAAGGTGTGGGCTGTACTTGTTAGAACAATTTTCTGTATCTCCTTGAGGCATGGACTTCCAGGTATCCCTTCAATTAGTCTACTGGAATCTTTTCCAACCAGTCCTAGGGCTCCAACTACAACAGGGATTGTTGATGTTCCCATATGCCACATTTTCGCGATTTCTATTTCAAGGTCCTTGTACTTTGACAACTTTTTGAATATCTTCAAAGATACATTGCAGTCGGCAGGGACTGCTATATCAATAAGGAGGCATCGTTTTTGTTTGTGGTCTTTAATAACAATATCCGGGCGGTTGGCCTTGATTGTTCTGTCAGTGTGTATTGTGTAGTCCAATAAAATTGTAACAGGTCCTATCTCCGTAACCGGGTCTGGGTGGTGTTCATACCAGTTTCTTTCAGTTTTTTCTTCCGTAGAAGTTGCAGATTTTCCAGTGCAGATATTGGCCCACTCTGTCATGTCGGGTTTTATATTCAGTGGGTACCAACACCGTACAACCTGCTACAAGATGATCAATCGTTTCTGGATATTTATCACAGAATCTGCATTTTTGGGCTGACACAATATTTTAGTATATGTGCTTGATAAAACCTAGCTTTAGCAAGCCACTGACTGGTCCGCTTTTCAACCCTGCAGTACGTAGCCACTGATGGTACTGGGGTTTTTGTCTATCTTTTTAGGCATTTTCAGCTTGTTTGGTACGGGCAGATTATTGGCCATGATTATTGGTTTATCTTGCCATCCTTCTGTAATTGGTCATCATCTGTTGCATTCGTCTTAGACCTATCTTTTTTAGGCATCTTTTGCAGTTTCAGCCGGTGTATTGATTATTATTATTATTTATTATTATTATTATTATTATTATTATTATTATTATTATTATTATTATTATTATTATTATTATTATTATTATTATTATTATTATTATTATTATTATTATTATTATTATTATTATTATTATTATTATTATTATTATTATTATTATTATTATTATTATTATTATTATTATTATTATTATTATTATTATTGTTATTATTATTATTGTTATTATTATTGTTATTATTATTATTATTATTATTATTATTATTATTTATTATTGTTTATTATTATTATTGTTATTATTATTATTATTATTATTATTATTATTATTATTGTTATTATTATTGTTATTATTATTGTTATTACTATTGTTATTGTTATTATTATTATTATTATTATTATTATTATTATTATTATCATCATCATCATTCGATTTCTGCTATGGACACACTACCTACCAAGTCTGCGGAAAGACCTAAGGCAGGTCGTGGTGTGTTGTTATGGCCACATTTCATGTTAATTTTTTTTTTTTTTTTTTATCTCCGATGAAGTTGCTAGCGTTACATAGACAAAGTTCTCCTTAGTGTGTGTGCTGTACTTAATAAGACAATTTTCTGTATGTTTCTTAAGCTGGGGTTTCAGGATTCTTTCAATGTGTTGTTTTGTTCCATTTTTTATAATTTCAAGTGCACCTATTACCACTGGTATTATTCTTGTTTTCAATTTCCACATTTTTTCTATTTCAATTTCCAGGTCTTTGTATTTTGATAGTTTTTCAAATTCCTTGGTTGCTATGTTACAATCCGCTGGACAAGCCATATCAATTAGTAGGCAAGTTTTTTCTTTCTGGTTTTTGACAATGATGTCCGGCCTATTTGCTTCAATTTTTCTGTCTGTGTGGATGGTATAATCCCATAGAATGGTGACATCTTCTATTTCTGTAACCGGCGCTGGCCGATGTTCATACCAGTGTTTGCTTACACATTTTCCAAAGTGTTTGCACATTGTCCAGTGTAAGTATTGCCCCCACTCTATCGTGACGATTTTTATATTCATTTGGGGCAAGTATAGAACATCCTGAGATTAGATGGTCTATTGTTTCTTGGTATTTGTCACAGAACCTGCATTTTGGATCCACATTATTATGTATGATATTTGCCTGAAAAATTCCTAGTGAAAAGACTCTGGTCTTGCGCTGCAAGAATAAAGCCTTCAGTTTCAGACTTTAATCCAGATGCTCGTAACCATCGATGAGTATTAACTTTATCAACATTGGGTTTATTTGCACGTTCTGGATATTGGCCATGCAGAGGTTTGTCTTGCCAGCGTTGTTTCATCTGTTCAAGGGCTTTATCCTTGGCTTTCTTTTTCATATCTTTTGCTGCAATAGTTGGTTCTTGGCTTCTGTTTTGATTTACTACAGAATCTACTAAATGTAAATGTTGTTTGTATTTATTGCCTTCTTTTATTATTGAATATTTTTTTCTTTCTGTTTTCATGTTGTTTCACTAATTTTATCATCCAGTCATTTGTTGTTTCCATGTAAGTTAGTAAGCCAATAGTTGTTGTCTTGTATGACAATTCTAGCTGAATAAGACCTCTTCCACCTTCTTTACGGGGTATGTATAGACGGTCTACATCAGCCTTTGGATGATGCATCTTATACTTAGAAAAGCTTTCTTGTTTTAGAATCCATTTGTCTGATGTCATTTAGAGTCCAGTTCAAGATGTTGAAACTATATTGGACCACTGGGATGGCAAGGTTATTAATGGCCATAATTCTGTTCTGAGAATTCAATTCAGTTTTTAATACCAGTCGTACCCTTCTATAGTACTCTTTTACGCACTATTTCTTTCATTTTCTTATGGTGAATTCCTTCACTCTCATTTACACCTAGGTACTTATAAGCTTCTCCTTGTTCTAAATCTTTTATTGTTACAGCAGGGTCTAAACTAATAGAGGAAGTTTGTTGTAGCGATCCTCGTAAAACTGTAGCTTTAGCACATTTATCCAAATTGAATTTCATTCCAATGTCTTCACTGAAGCATTTACAGTTTGCAGAAGACCTTCCAGCTCATTGTCATTCCTAGCATACAATTTTAAGTCATCCATGTAAAATAGATGGTTTATTTTCTTTTGAGCTATTTTGTAACCGCATTCTGTCTTGTTAAGTTGGCTGGTTAATGCTATAAGTGATATGCAAAATAATAAAGGAGACAAAAAGAGTCACCTTGAAAAAGAGTCACCTTGAAATATTCCTCTATTGATGTTTATTTCGCCAGACTTATAGGTTCCATTTTTATGATTGAGGTAAAGTGTAGTTTTTCCATATCGACATACATTGTTTGATGAAATTGATGATAACGGGTGATACCTTGTACATACTATTTAAAGACTTTAAGATCCAGGAATGTGGTACACTATCGAATGCATTTTACGATAATCTATCCAGGCAATACTAAGATTTTTTTTTCACGGAAGCAGTTTTCCAGGATCATCCTATTTTATTATTGCCTTTTTATTATTATTATTATTATTATTATTATTGTTATTATTATTATTATTATTATTATTATTATTATTATTATTGTTATTATTATTATTGTTATTATTATTATTGTTATTATTGTTATTATTATTATTGTTATTATTATTGTTATTATTATTATTATTATTATTATTATTATTGTTATTATTATTGTTATTATTATTATTGTTATTATTATTATTATTGTTATTATTATTGTTGTTATTGTTATTATTATTATTATTATTATTATTGTTATTATTATTATTATTGTTATTATTATTGTTGTTATTATTATTATTATTGTTATTATTATTGTGGGGACCTGAAGATTATTATTATTATTACGGGCTCCCTGTTTATTATTATTATTATTATTATTATTGTTGTTATTATTATTATTGTTATTATCATTATTCTTTTTATTTTCTTTGATTTCTGGCGTTTACACATTTCTTTTTCCGGGTCCCGATATTCCCAGGGCATTTTCTTTTTCATAAATTCTAAGGTTAGAAATGAAAATAGGGATTGTTTTTAAAAAAAAAAAAAAAAAAAAAAAAAGAATTGACACTTCCACTGACAAAAAAAAAAAAAAAGATAGATAGATAAAGCCCTTCGTAAGGTGTGGGCTGTACTTGTCAGAACAATTTTCTGTATCTCCTTGAGGCATGGACTTCCAGGATTATTATTATTATTATTATTATTATTAGGACTTCGCTCAATAGTAATCTCTGGTGTGTCAGATGTTGTTTAAGTACTCACATACGGCGATGACCTGGTCCAGCTGATGCCAGTGATTTGTTCTTGGATGTCTCCAAGATGCTTTGTGCACAATTTATGCTAGCAGCAGAGTACTAGGAGTGTTTGGCCATTCTCATTCATTTTCCTTATATTAGGTTGGTGCAAAAATAATGACGTAATAATGTCGTTTTTTGGCGTTAAAAAATACGTCAGAAAACGACATTATTTTTGCACCAACCTAATACCATGCTAACAAAACACGTTTGGTCAGTGCACTTGATCAGTACCCACGCCCTCATTGAAAACTCCTAGAAGGTAAATGTGTTCATATAATGGGTTACGCTTGACGACGTTCTCAAGTTGAGCGTAGAGCTGGTCTTTGACTTCGGGCGTGGCTTGCAGTGTTGGCGCATAGATGCATATAAGGCTTATACGATCTTCATATGGCGAGGAATGAGACGTCTCTCTGTGCCACCTGCTAGAGTTTCAATCATACGGAGTAGGGTGTTCTTGACAAGGAATCCAATTAAGTGTTCCCTGCATTCATCGACTCCTCTCACCTGCCAGAAGAATGTGTATTGTTCTTCCACTGTCCGGAAGTCCGTTTCAATGTTCAGTCTATTTAGCTTATTATTGATCACTGCAGTCTTGCGAGGGTCATCAATTTTCTGAAGGTCATCAGATAGACGTGTGCGCATGCTCCGCACATTTCAGCTTGCGTTAAAAAAATTGGATTCTTCGTTTTTTCCCTTCTGCTGTTTATTTGTGTCATGGTTATCGATCTGCTTGTTAAGCTAGCAGCCATAAGCATCAGGTACCCACTGAAACTGGCAGACAGTGGCTGATCAACGCCCTACTGCCCAGGAGCTGTCCGGCTTGAGGCGAGCGATAGTTTACCAATGGAATACAGCGATCTTTGTCACCATCGAAGACACCTCGTGGCGTCCAATTCCACGCCAGTTGAGCATTGAACGTAAAATTCTGTCTTCTGTGCTGTGCTCTCACCGTTTGGTGAGACTGGGGTAACCACTCCACTACGTAGGCGTGAACGATGATATATGGAGCTCATACGCTGCTCAGACCACATGTACACCCGCGTCTCGGCCGTACCAGCAAGATCCAAAGTCTATCTGTCTATATTTCTGTGATGAGATATAATTATTTATATTATTTACATTGTTCAGACTGTTGTCCTTATGATTATTGCCATATTCACGACGTTTCTGTCGTTGCAGGCTCCGACCTTCTTCAGGATCTTTCTATATTTCTGAGAAGAGATATAATTATTTACATTATTTACATTGTTCGGACTGTTGTCCTCATCTTTATTGCCATATTCACGACGTTTCGGCCTTTGTAGGCTCCTACCTTCTTCAGGATCTGTCTATATTTCTGTAATGAGATATTATAATTATTTATATTATTTACATCATCCGGACTGTTGTCCTCATCATTATTGCCATATTCACGACATTTAGGCCGTTGTACACTTCGGTCTTTTTCAGGATCTGTCTATATTTCTGAGATGAGGTATTGTAATTATTTACCTTATTTACATTGTTATGACTGTTGTGTTCGTCTTTATTGTCATATATGCGACGTTTCAGCCGTTTTACGTATCGGCCTTCTTCAGGTAACACATGGTCCAGTGGATAAATGCGTTGGTTTTATCCAGTGACTTGACCCAAAGAGTTCTGAGTTCAATCCCTGGCTACTGCAGGGGTAAACAAAAATTTGGAGAGTTGGGTTAAAGAGAGATAACCGGAAGAGACATGGCACGTGGATCTAAAACAATCAACCCCAGTGATCGAAATAAACGGTTCACCTGAAGATGGCCGGAGAGTAAAACGACGGAATCCTCGTGAATATGAAAATAAAGATGAAGACAACAGTCCGAAAAATGTAAGTAACATAAAGAAATACAGCTTGACTGCAGAAGTTGACGGAAGGTTTTCAGTGTTGACAACCAATCGTCTTTGGGGTTCCACTCTTGCTTTTCTGTCCGGATTTACTTCCATAGCTTTTTTCCGCGTTTGGGTATGACCACAAGACAGCGGGTCTTAAAATCCGGGTTTTCTTTCCTATAGATGAACTACCGTTCCGACGAGCTCCGTCGATTCGAAGTATCTGGTCATGAGGCGCCAGAGGTCCGCCTTCGTCTCATTCTCCGGTTTGGAAATGGACTTGTTTGTCCGAATTTATTTGAGACCGAAGACGTGGTAGTATTTTAAAAACAGTGGGAGCTTGTCCCCACTATTACCCTCGGCTATGACAAACATTGCAACATATATAATATACAAATACTGTTTGTTTTAGAAACTCCCCCAAATTATCGTTTTTTTTTTTTTAACAAAAACACGAGAAATCAAGACATATTACAAAATATTAGTGCAATAAACAAAATACAGATTGAAAAGTTCCATAACTGTAGAAAAACAAGGTATCCGGAAGAAAAAGGAAGAATATAATTCGGGCTTAAATCCCGAAATACACTGAGATTATGAAGTAATTATTTATAACATCAAAAATAATCTATACTGTTTTTTTGGCGGTACTAACACCTAAACTATCAATTGATAAAATAAATGGGAATAGGAAAAGCAAAGGTGATAAATATAACTTTAGATAAGCAAAAACAGAATTTAAAAGTAAGACAAATCATCTTTAAGATAGCTATACAAAACAAAAACTAATATATATATATATATATATATATATATATATATATATATTACGAAATATTCGTACATAAATAAACAAACACAGAAATCGAAATAGTTAATATTGGAAAAAGCAGATAGAAAAAAAATGAAAAATATAAATCGAGATTTAAGCCTAAAATACTTAGAGATTATGAAGTCATTATTTATAACATATAATAAAATAACCTTTTTGACAGCACTAACACCCAAATTATCAATTGGTAAGAAATGA